GACCTTTATGTCATTAAGAGATTCGATAAGCAACAAATTTATTTGTTACACAATGAAATATTTTTGCTCTGTCCAGCGCAGGGCAACAAAACCATGGACTCACAAACAATTTGGTGTATAAATATTTAAAATTATTTTTTTTTTTTTTTACATACGGTTTCTATGATATTTTTACACGCAAAAGATTTTTCTGAAATTTTTTTCCGGCGAAAAAATTTTAATTTTGTGTGGGTTTCTGACTGACCGGGATCTTAAACTATTAATATAATTTTTCTAGAAGGGGTTGATCTTTAAAAACGAAAACTAGTAAGACTAAAATTTTCAGGTCAGAATTATTTATATAACAAATATAATCTTTTCAAAACTGGTTACAATATATTTATTTTAGAAACCCATTATAATTTTATAAGCTGACGTTATCCCTAAAATTACGTACAAAGCAATTTTCGACATATTCGTTTGTATCTTAGGGTATGTTCTTAAACTGAACTGTACTATTATTGGTAGAATTACGTGGCAGTAAACATGGGAACAATATATTCTGATTTTGCCTTTAAAGTTAGAAACTTGTGTGACTGGACAAGACAATTGTACGTTTTATTTAAGATCCCAATCAACGAGAAACCCACCCTTGGAGCTGCTGTGCGCACTTAAAAAAAGTATCAAAAATAAACTGGGAAAGTGCGGATGGTTTAAAAAAGGCGAGAGCAACTTTTAGAATTTAGAAATACTTTCTTGTCGCGGAGAAATGGGCGAAAACGATCGGCTACTCCCCGACTTCCCAGAAAATCAAAGGAAACATTCGGAATGCTTTGATTTTAGCAAATATTAGAGCTATTTTAGTTCCAATAATGTTATTAATTAATTTCAATACATAATTAGTGAGAATAAACATGTTTCTAGTTTTCTACTAGTACGTCTTCGATCTCAATGTCCAAATCTTGTAACGATACACTCTTCAGCACACATTTCCATAAGAACATCTTTCTCTGCCTCTTCCTTCTCTGTTTTGACTGGCTTTTGGATCTATGACACTACTCCACATCTACTTTGGAGGATAACATGGGATCATTTTGCTATACATATAGCTGTAGGATCACAATGTAAACACATTTCACAGCTTCCTTTCTTGTTGTATTTATGTTATTCACATGGTCCTGGTCTACTTGTAACTTCGGTCATACTTGCGCCGCGCAAAAATGGAAAACTGATTTCTAAAACAGCAGTTTGCGAAAGGATAATTTTGTATTGTTACTACAGCGAAAGTCACGTGATCATGGTAACACGTCATGAGTTTCTAGAAGAATCATGACTGTTCCTGGTAACTCTAGTCTTTTCTAGGCGCCCTCTATTTTAGTACCCAAGCCCGGCAAATAAAGCGGAGATATAATTGCAGATAGATAGATATAGAGGCAGATAATTGAGTCTAGTGAACGGTAGTGACCGTAAGTAAAGTGCGTGAATCGTTGTGAATTATAGCGTGCGTTTTAAGTTAAAATGACTGTAGAAATTAAGTGTATTGCAAAGCTGTATTGAGAAAGAATAAACTAGTTTTATTTAAGAAATGACTTGTATCGCTGAAGTTTCTCGGAAAGAATTTTTACGGGAAATTAACAATATTATAAAATATGTCAAATAGAACTTTTCTTTTTGGTGCAACTGGTTTCAACTTAAAAAGGGTTTCTTATCAACATTTCTTAAATGTAAATTAGTGATTCACAATTTTCTTAGTGTTTCACCAGTTAAATTTTTGATGTACCATTAATCCTGTGATCCACACAATAGGCACAGAAGTAAAGATATGAACATTATTTTGGGGTAATTTACTGAATAAGAGTGGTCCAGTAACCTTTTCTGTGCATTTTTCAGTTTAGAAAAATGTTTTTTAAGAGCTAGCCCAACATATTTTAGTAATGAGCCTAGGATGGTCATTCCGGAAACCGATGATTTCGATAGATCTCGGTGAATTGAAGCATTAACTAAAATATGACAATGAAATCTATATGGATTATACTATGTACCATAGAGGACATTATACTAGGCTTCTTATATTTACTCTTCATTGTAGAAATAGCATATTTAATTTGAGAATCGCAAAGGAAATCATCTTGTAATGCAACGTGCATCTTTAGGCTTTTTTAATGTGCCGTTAGTTTCACAAAACATTTCTTATATATGATTTCAATTCCACTTTGAAGATAACGATACTATTATGTCCGTTTCGCTGACAATGCAGTAATCAACTGAAGAATCTCCAATTCAATTGACTTACAAGTTCTTCCCTCATCCAACCTTAGCTTGATCACTGCACTTAAACCATCACATTCACATCCTTATCTACAACATTTCAAGCATGTTTCATTGCTACATCATTTTACATTACATTTACGTCACCTCTCCATGTCGGCTCTCATGGTATCGGATCTGGTCCAGCGACTTAGACCTCGAAAAGTGCCAAACGTCGTCTTTTTTGTCCAATCTAACCAACCCAAACTTTTACAGAATTACAGTTATATGTTAAATAATTCATATAATGTGGAATACAATTAATATTGTACAAGTGAATATAGTACTTTTTTGTGTGTGAAAACAAAGATAACGTGAAATATTAATAGGATTGTTTTATAGGTTCAGTCAAGATTAACTTTTAAAAATATTTTTTTCCTTTCATTCATTTTATATATTTAGTAGATCAAGTCTAAACTGGAACACTTTGTCTCGGGCTAACAATACATCTAATTTCCTATTTGTTCGTGATATAAAAATATTCTATTAGTTTCTTACTTTCATCAGAAGACCAAGTTAGTGCCAGTCAACATCAGGTTCTTCTGTCGTGTCAACAGAGTTTGTACGATTTTATACGTTATTACGACTGTAAATCGGTTACTTTGAGAGTGACACACTCGATTTTCCTCATAAAAGAACTTCAATAATTCAGATATTAAAAATACCATACATGTACAGAGAAGAAACAGCTATGACGCTGCACAACTTTTATTTTCAACGGTTCATTGAAAAAATATTTTTTAACATTTTCCATGTTAATTTCATTTTACTCACGGAGTGAAGGGAAATATCGGTTACAATCCTGTAACTGTGATACATTAACAAATTATTGTCATGTCGGATATCTTGACTTTTACAGTTAAGGAAAACATTTTATAATATTACATTGGAACAAATCACGAGTTTTCTTTTGTATTCAGTGATCATAAAGTATATAGGAGAATAGTACATTTTAATTAAAAAATATGACTAATAACCAGATAGAAACTTGTTAAATCCTAATGTTCTGCTATGTTTGTTTTGATTACCTTCACGATACTACAATCCAATAAACTGAGAAAAGGCATGGATTAGAACTAACAACATTACTCAAGAGAGAGAATAATAGCTAAGTTGGTTCTGCATAGGTCTTTGAAAATTCATATTTTGTTTTCTTGTATAAAAATACAATTCTTGTATATTTCAACAGTTATTTTTGTTTCAGTGTATTTTAATGTCTTTTTTGCCAATGTCGCCTTCTTTCAATACCCTATCTTTTCAGTTCCAACATTGATACTTGTTCCATCTCAAAATTAATCCTCCTTTTAGTCTAGTTGGACTTTTATGAATAATGACCATGATCTTGGTGAAGTACCTTCTAGTTAGACGTACGTAACACAATAGAATGCCCATTGTTTAGAGTTAACTTTAATGAAGTTTTAGTCCCTAGTTTATATAGATGTAAAACTAGCATTGACAAGATAGATGTTAGTCACTTATAGAATATCATTTTGCTTATTCTGAAAAATTATGATAGTACATATCACTCGAGGTTAGGCTTGAACAGTATATAATTCATGTATTTAATTCACTTTACTTTGATCTATCACGTTATTCCAATAACAAATACAAAAGTGTGTATGTTAATTTTTTGTAAATTTAATTTTCAACCTATTTTTCTTTCTACCCACTTCTAAAAGCCCAATTTTACTTGCCTGATTTATTACAGTAATCCTCAGACTGTACAAGAGGAAGACTGTGTGCGTTTTTTTTCTTATAGCAAAGTCACATCGGCTATCTGCTGAGTCCACCGAGGGAAATCGAACCCCTGATTTTATCATTGTAAGGGAAGATATCACAAAACAGAAGATGCAAATTATCATTCTACTTTAAAATCCTAGACATATTCTAGCTTTTTTTACTCAAATTATCATCACCACTACGTTTCTTTGCAACATAGGCTTCTATTTTTCATTGTATACTTTAGTATCCTATTTACTAAAATATTGCTTGATCACAATGCAGTTTTCAAAGTAACATAACATAATAGATAACCCTTATACACTCATACTATTAAATTACAGTGAGAGAGATGCTTATTTTGATATATAGCACTGTTCTGATGTTCCTAATGTTTCTGTGGTATTTACTGAACCACACAAACCCCCCAAATACTCAAAATTGTTATTCATGTTTAAATATCTGACAAGATACCACACTGTTAATTCTGAACTTGATCCTGCAGTTATTAACAAACTATATATATATATTTTCTTTTAAGATTTTTTTTTTCAGTGTTTACAATACAGGTTATCCACACAGTACCAAAATAGTATGACACGGAATGAATTTTTTTTTAATCAAAATTAATTTTTGTATTATCTTCAGAATGGGAAATCTGAAATGTAACAACCCTTACTATGCCAGAACTATTCAATATGGTAATAACATGTTTATTTTGTTACATGAAAACAAAGTATTCACACTTAAGCACAAATAATTAAAATTTATTGGTTCAAACATGACAGTGACAGAGGATTTCTGTAACTAAGGGTAGTTGAATTGTTATTACAATGAGTCTTAAACAATAATTATGAACGTTACTTTCTCATCACACTTATTTTACACTATAAGCACTTTTCATAGAAGTTTTCCATGTCAAAGATTTAATAACTTGCAAAATGCAATTTTTCCAGCTCTGTCTAAATGAAACTAACTCACATTGGACAGTTGTAATGGACTGAATGCACTTGCCACAGATATTAAAAGTGTCAGTATGAAATGAATTTTGTACATGAACACATCAAAGAACAAAGAATTAAAAATTAGAAAAAGAATCAAGAGAACTCACTCAAATTGCTTCATTAAAAAAAAAAGAAAGATACTTTTCCACTCAGAACAAGTACTGAGTCTGAATTAGGTTTTTTAAGGTTTCCTTTATCATACAATTTTTCACTACTGTCACCACATAATGATAAATTTTCTTTAAACTCCAGTTTGCTGGAATTCATCATTAGGTCACTGAATGACTTATGTATTTGTGAACTGGCTACACTGTTAAATACTTGCACAGTAACTCCAGTCCTCATTGCTTTCATATTTCTAACATCAGAGCTACACTGCCTGCCTATTTTTAAGCTTCCAACAACCCAAATTTCTCCACAAGTCAGATTTTCTTAAAGTTGTCTACCACTGATGAACCCATGCAGGTTAGATGCCCTCTGGGCTCGCTAGGGGACCGTACCGTACCAAAAGGTATGCGCGACTGTGCCAGGATAGTTAGCACTTCTCATCTGGAAGAGACACCTGGTGGTGAATGAAAGGCTAAACTAGTTCAAAACTAAATGTGCTGGTAATGTAAATACCAGGTCCTGAAGGCATATCTGTCTGTATTTCATACATTCACACAGACAAACTACAATACTTACAACAGATTTTTCAAAAGAAGAAAAAAAAGGATACACATGTGCATAGGTCAAAGACCAGCAACTAAACCTGAATAAGTCATCTAAGTTACACACACTTACTCATCACCAATCATTCAGACATATGCACCAGTTAACTTCACTCGGACCAACAATCACAAGCAAACTTCAAGTTGACTTGATTACAAACAGAGTAATCTTTTTTGTTGTTATTATTAATATACAGGCTAAAGTTTTTACAAGCAAAAAACGTTCAGTTTTGTTTGTTCATTATTTTTCCTCTAAAAGTTAATCAAAATTGTTATTATTAATCATTATACTGTTTGAAAATATTCAACACACACACACTATCACAAACACTCCTACACACTCAACACAACATTAACAGAACACTGCTCTAACAATCATACATTCAGTACCTTATCCAAGGACAATCATTGACAAGTGTGCCTTCAGAAGTTGGTATCTGAGTTTTATAAATACTTCATCTTTCAGTGGTCTTCTCAACGCCTCCTCGTTGTTGGACTCCGGCTCCTGCTTCGACTTCCCTATAAATATACGTAATTTCCAGTTTAAATGTAGCCAAGATACAGCAGTCACATTTTTACTAAGAACAAATTACACTATTTGGACTTTCCCAGATATGCACAATAAAAATAGTCATGAATCAAACAAACTTTAGATAACGGTTAGAAATGTGGACCACATGATAAATAGTTGCAATCAATGTCCATAAAACAAATGTTTTTGTCTCATGCATAGTAGATTTTTCATGGACATTAAAGGGGAGGAGGGTTGTTTCATGCATAGTCATTTTTTTTTGTCCATGAAACTCACCTATTTTCAAATACACAATTTAAATTTTCATACAAATTAAATCTTACCCTACTCCTCTCCTTCCTTTGTGATCGCATATCCTCCTCCTCTTTTCTACGTCGTTCTCGCTCTACCTGACGTTGCTTACGTTCTTCTATTCGGCTTTGAATCTGATGTAAAAACATTTATGTTTTATAAACTCAACACGTTTACATTACTATGTAATAGTTTAAAGACTAAAGGTTTGATCAGAATATTAATGGTCTCCTAAAGCTTTTAAATTTCAAAACTAATTTTTTGAGATAGTATTAAAACAATATTTCTGAAAGTTAGCATTAATTAATCAAAATACTGCATGTATTTATTTTAAATGTTTTAAAATTATAGCAACTTATAAAAGATTATTAGGTAATTGTATTTACTAATTTATATCATTTGTTAATGGTTGATATGAGTGCTAATTGTCAAAGTGTTAGGATCATAACACATTACTTCTATTGGTTTGCATTTCTAAATTTCTGATTTCTGTTACCTCTTTCAATTTGGGGTCGATCAATCTGACCTCGTAACCATTTTGTGCTTGTTATAGTTTTCATGCTATAACTTTTAAATTATTAAGCAAATATTAACGAAATTTAGCAGTTTATCAGTAAACATTACAATGCTTTCATATGCAAAATATCTAATTATTTTATTAAGTTGTAAGGTTTGTAAAGCAATGTTTCTCTCATTCCTTTTTTTTTTCTTCTTTACATCTTGCCTA